GATGTGCGTGTGTAGAAGCAAGCAAGGGACATTTTTGTTGTGAGCTGCTGCGTTGAAGTACAATGATGGCATTTTGGATATATGTTTATATATTTTACCTTGTTTTGGTGTCAGAAACTCGATAAATTTATGTAAAAGTATTTTGAAACACCCTGTTATATATAATATATATATATATATATATATATATATATATATATATATATATATATATATATATATATAAAAATTTGAAAAATATAAATTGATGTATAAAGGATGTTCCTGAAAATTACAAATCAGTTTAAAATAATTCAAATTTTAAGTAGATTTTTTTAATAGTATTTATTCTTGTAAACATAAATATTCTGCCTTTTCGTAAGAGACACACCCTGCGAGTCATCATTTCTTTCTTTTTCTCGTTTTTGTCTTGCCTAAAAAGAAGCCCAAGTAAAAGACAGGCAGTTATACAGTGTTATACTATTATTTCTTATTTCCAGATCATATCTAATTTGAAATCACCATTCGAAATTCTGTCTTTATATATATATATAAAATATATATACTGTGACAGGGTCGAATGGATTTGCAACGGTCGAACTTTTTCATTATTATTATTTATTATTATTATTATTTTAATCATTTCACCCCAAACAACGCGATAAAGACAATAAACTATATAATGCGATTACAATCTGCCGATCTTATTTCAATTATCAAAAGGCACCTGACAAACCAAATGTCATATGTATTCATCGAATAGTTCTTTTTTATGTTTATAACCCAAAATTTAATAAAAAGAGTTCACAGAAAGAAAAAAATGAAATTTTGATTTTTTTTTTTTTTACGGCTTATCAACTTTTTTTAAAATATGAGAAAATATTTTTAGAAGTAAATATTTTTTGATAATAATATTGCTAAACTAATTAAATAGCTGGGGCGAGAAGAGGTGGATTCATACATTTTCCCAAGAATATTTGTGTCTATAAATATAACTAAAACTGGAATTGGAACTCGGCTCTCCGATTAACAATTCCGAGCTATAATTGATTACAAACCATTTTAATCCAAAATTACAGCATCTGGTATTTCCATAGAGGTCACTCATCGAGGTTCAGACCAGGCTCGACGTTTTAAATTTTCGGTGATTATATTTCTCCGTTGTTTGAACGTGAAATGGCCGTAAGTGAGATGAAAATGAGAAAATAAAAACAGAATTTTATGAGAGAAAGAGCGAGAATAAAAAAACAATTTCCTTCATTACATACACACACATATTTATCAATATATAAAATATAATATCGATATAATATATATCAATATTTTATTATTTTTTATTATTATATATATATTATATTAATATTATATATATTATTTTGATATTTTATCATATATATATATTGATATTATATTATATTAATATTATATATATTATATTGATATTATATAATATGTATTATATGTAGTATATTGATACTATACCTAAACACATTAAAATGTTCCGTAAAGCATTTCGCACTATGCGAATTAGTATTATTTTGAAATATTTTATCTGAAATAAATTCAAACAATATTAAAAACTGATGTATTTTTACATAAATAAGTTTAGGCTGAAAATGAAATCGTAGAGTTGCAATAAAACACATCTGAAAATGAAATTTAAAAAATGCCAAAAATTATATCGGACAAAAATTTCATCTCAGAAATTCAAAATCATATATTAATGCTAACAGATGGTAGTTGGATGTGTGATTAGTGTAAATAATAACCGTTCAATTTCGCAAAAACACCTTTGAGAAAGACATGAATTCTTTTCCACCTGTAGGTAAAATTGCAGGGTAGACTGAGCTCTCTAGCTTTGAGTTTCAAACAGCCTTCCTTCATGATTGATTTGTCAAAAGAATTCCCGCAGTAACTTGTCGTTCGTTACTTTCTGCAGTAGACTGGTTTCCAATCAAGGCGATAGAAACCAGTCTGTCCTGCTATTTAAACTATAGCTATGGGGGTGATAATCATACTTGTTGCGTAAATTAATGTTACCAACTCGACTAGAATTCGAACTCAGCTCTCCGTTTTCACATTCCGAGCCGATATATTGATTACACCAGAACGAACATCTTAAAGGAATTTAGTATTTTAAAGGAAATGCATGAAAATAGAATTGACATTGTATCAAGAGTTCGAGGAAAAAAACAGATTCGAATGTCTGTAGCCTCCGTAGCTTAATAAGTTTAGCCAACTATCGCGTTAAGACAAACTCCCAAGTATAAATGATGCTTTTTTCATTTCAAACCTGAGGATTGTTCTTTATTTCCGATCGGCGCTGCTGTGTAACGACATTAATTCGCCGGTCTAACTTTTAGAATATATGAACGACGGAAATTGCCTCATAACAGACAAGCAGCAGTAATAACTAAAACGTTTTTAAAATTCAATAATTACGAAGATTTCATGAAAAATCTTCTTTGAATCCCTTTGCTCGAAATAGTACACTTGGGCCGTTTGCACGCTGGCTCAAAAAGAAAGAGTACTGCTCATAAAAGATCGCGGCAAATGTCCGTACTACATTAGGTTCGGACGAGTTTCATGTTCTCCATACATTTAGGTAGTAGCTTGTATATTTGCTAGATATAATCCCCGCCTCCGAACTAGTTTTTTTTTTCTCTCTGAATATTGTTGAACTTTAAAAAAATATCTCATTCGTATAATCGTCTTATCTTCAACGAGTTAGTTTGCTTTTTCCGCCCTCTTGTTTATAATTAAAAAAAATTACTTGGAAGTAAAAAAAAAAAAAGAAAAAATTTGCAATCACACACGCGCCCAACGCACGCATTTATACAAAAGATAAAAATACAAATAATGTTAAACCAAAAAGACATTGAAAAATATAGAAGCCGTCTTCGCTTGATGTTTAAAAACTCCGGTATTTGTTTAAATATTTAGACTTTCTCTTCCATCTCAATGGCTTTTTTTTAGTCATCAGTAACTGAAATGTGTTTATTTAGTCCCATTTTGATAACTTTTCGCTTACAATATGGCTACCTTGTGTGGTTCAGTTGAGTCTTTCCTATAAGGTTTCTCTTTTGTTTCCTTTTTTTTTCTTTCCTCTTGTCTCCCTATTCTTTTAGTTTGTATCTTATTCTACCTTTTTGTGTATATTTTTTTTAAATTTTAGTCTTTCTTCTTGTAGTTTACCTTTTTCATTTTTTATTCGCCTTTTTCATAGTCATCATCTTTTAATTCTTTCATTCTTTCTTTCTTTCAATTCGTATTTCGTTTCTTTGTTTTCAACGATTTTACGCTCTCTTTTCCTTGCAACTTACTGTCAATTTTTCTTTCTTTTTCTTTTTTTTGATTTTGTTAAAGTTTTTCTTCTTCTTCTAATTCTCGTTCTTCGACATGTTTTTCTTGATTTTGTCATTATTCTTCCAATTCTCCTATTTTCTAATTCTCTTTTCTTTTCCTCTTTTTCTAATTCTCTTTTCTTCTGCTCTCCTTTTTCTAATTCTCTTTTCTTCTGCTCTCCTTTTTCTAATTCTCTTTTCTTCTGCTCTCCTTTTTCTAATTCTCTTTTCTTCTCTCCTTTTTCTAATTCTCTTTTCTTCTGCTCTCCTTTTTCTTCTTTTTCTTCTTCTCTCCTTTTTCTATTCTCTTTTCTTCTGCTCTCCTTTTCTAATTCTCTTTTCTTCTCTTTTTCTAATTCTCTTTTCTTCTTTTTTCTAATTCTCTTTTCTTCTCTTTTTTCTTTTTTTCTTTTTTTCTTTTTCTTTCTCTTTTCTTTTGCTCCTTTTTCTTTTTCTTTTTTTCTTTTTTTTTTTTTCTCCTTTTTTCTTCTCCTTTTTCTTTTTTTTTTTTCTTTTTTTTTTCTTTTTCTTTTCTTCTTTTTCTTTTTTTTTTTTTTTTTTCTTTCAGTTTTCCTTTTTCTTTCTTTTTTTCTTCTTTTTCTTTTTTCTTTTCTTCTTTCTCTTTCTCTTTTTCTTTTTTTTTTTCTTTTCTCTTTTCTTTTTCTCTTTTTTTTTTTTTCTTTTTCTTTTTTTTTCTTTCTTTTTTTCTCTTCAATCTTTTCTTTTTTCTTTTTTCTTTTCTTTTTTTTCTTCTCTCCTTTTTTCTTTCTTTTTTTCTCTCTTTTTTTCTTTTCTTTTCTTCCTTTTTTTGTAATTCTCTTTTCTTCTTTTCCTTTTTTTAATTTTCTTTCTTCTTTCTTTTTTAATTTTTTTTTCTTCTGCTTTTTTTTCTCTTTCTTTTTTCTTCTTTTTTTCCTTTTCTTCTTCTTTTTTTTCTCTTTCTTTTTTCTTTTTTATCTTTTCTTTTTCTCTTTTTTTCTCTTTTTTTTTCTTTCTTTTTTTTCTTCTTCTTCTTTTTTTTTTTTTCTCTTTTCTTTTTTTCTCCTTTTTTTTTCTTTTTTTTTTCCTTTTTTCTTTTTTTCTTTTCTCTCTTTTTCCCGTTCTCTTTTTTCTCTCTTTCTTTTTTCTTTTTCTTTTCTTCTCTCCTTTTTCTTTTCTCTTTTCTTTTTCTCCTTTTCTTTTCTTTCTTTTCTTTTTTTCTTCTCTTTTTTTCTGCTTTTTTTCTTCTTTTTTCTTCTTCTTTTTTTTTTTTTTTCTTTTCTCCTTTTCTCTTTTCTTTCTCCTTTTTCTTCTCTTTTCTTCTGCTCTCCTTCCTTTTTCTTTTCTTTCTCTTTTTTTCTTTCTTTTCTTTTTCCTTTTTCTTTTTTTTTTCTTTTTCTCCTTTTTTCTTTCTTTTTTCTTTTTTCTCTTCTTTTCTCTTTTTTTTTTTTCTTTTTAATTTCTTTTTTTCTTTCTCTTTTTCAATTCTTTTCTTTTGCTCTCCTTTTCTTTTTTTTTCTTCTGCTTCTCTTTTATTTTCTTCTTTCTCTTTTTTTATTCTCTTTCTTCTTTCTCTCTTTTTTTCTCTTTTCTTTTTTCTCATTTCTTTTTTTCTTCTTTTTTTCTTGTTATTCTCTTTTAATTCTTTTCTCCGTCTTCTTTCTTTCCTCTTTTTTTAATTCTTATACTTTTAATTAATTTCACTCTTCTCTCCTTTTTCTCTTCTTGTCATTCTTTCCTCTTCATTCATTTTCTAACATTTGCCTGATTCTTCATTTTGTCTGCTTTATTTTCTATTCTTCGTTTTGCTTCTTTTTTCTTCTTCTTTTCTTCTTCTTGCTTTCTTTTTTTTTCTGTTCTTTTACTGCCGACTTCATCGCTTTGTTTTCAACGATTTTTGTCTTTTTCCTCACCCGTAGTTTCGTTTTCTATTCCTTGCAACCTTCTACCCCGGCTAACAAAATGACATGGTTAAAACACTTCTACAACATTACAAAGAATTACTAAAAATGTCTTTTGTAGACTGCGCACAATTTTTCAAATCTTACGTTTAACATAAACGTTACAGGGCTTTTACCGTTTTCAAACACCAATTCCCGTACAATAACCAAATAACGCCAAGCCTGGTCAGCACCTAGAGGGATAACCGCTTGGGAATACCAAGCGCTGTAAGGCTGGATGTGCGGGTGGTGTAATGGATAACGGCTCGGAATTTTGAAAACTGAGAGTCGTGTTCCAGTTCCAGTTGAGTACGTTATATTTATTTACGCGCAAATACACATGGGAAGATACGAATCCGCCTTTTCTCTGTTGAATTATGATTTGTATATTAGTAACTATACTCGCTTGGTGGAAAAACCCGGATGGCGCAATTCGCATATATAAATATATCGAAACAAATTGGTATCTGCGAAAAATAAATGGAAAAAAAAGAAAGAACTATAAACATCCTTGCAAAGCGAAAAAAATCGTCCAGTGCTTTAATTTCCAGTCCAAAGAAAAAACAAAAAACAATCGAGCAAATAAGATAAAACATAAAGTTCTCAATACGCTAAGTAGAGCAGAATTTTTTTTAAAAATCCTAAAGAGCCAAGAACTACCTAATTTTTCAATTTTCACCTAAATGGATATTCAGGGTAAGCTGGCTCGGTTTACCCTGAAGATCCATTTAGGTGAAATTAAAGGAAACATTGGCAAAGCATTTCAATTATATATATATATATATATATATATATATATATATATATATATATATATTGACATTTGTTTACATTCTTAAAAATAACACGCTAGATTTAGCTACTCAGTGGTATATAATTCTTTACAAAATCATTTGGTTTTAATCCTGGATTGAGTCATTCAGATGTTTAGTCGCATTGACGAGCTGTGATGCAGAAGACAGTACTGTCTGCGAATGATTATATATATATATATATATATATATATATATATATATATATATCAACGTTAATTCTTAGCTGAATAATTATTACTTCATACATACAATCTGGATAATTCATAATCATTTGTTATTGAACATCTCATTCCTGTCTGCAGAGATATGTTGCTATAACCGTTCCATGGTGTAATCTCCTGGCCCATATACGGGGAGTAAGGGCTCAACCCGCTAGGTCGGTGAAGAGGCGTCCCGAAGCTACTATCGGATCTAACCACGGACGATGTAGTGATTGGGGAACTAGGCGTAGGAGTGAAAGCGAATCGCGACGACACAGAGTGATGTGTGCCGGCGTTTGTGCTGTAAGGGGTCTCATTTGGTGGCATGGTCCACATGGCTTATAAATCTGCGGCTACTGCTGCTGACCCAGGTGACCCTGTCGAATTCTGTCCTGTGGCCCCGTTGTTTACGTATTGCATTGGGATGACTGCTCTTGTCGTAGGTACATACACGGGACTGCTACTGGCTGGGTGCAGGAAAGTGTTGGATGGGGTTTCGTACGGGGAAACCCCTGCGGGACTGGCCATTGGCAGGGGCGACACGTGGTTTTGAAACATGGAGTTCGATGATTGCAAAGAGGACTTCGTGCTGTTGGAGTTGTTATTATTATTATTACTGCTATTATTATTATTATTATTATTACTACTACTACTGTTTGTGTTATTGTTGCTGTTGTTGTTGCTGCTGCTGTTATTACTGTTGCTATGGTTTAGACTTCCGGTTCCGGTACCACCACCTACCGACGTTGATACAACTGTGGCGCCGGACACGTGACTTGGCTGATGATGAGATCCGCTAATTTGCGAGGCACTGCTGACGTTATCCAATTGGTTAAGTAAAACCTCAACTTCTTCCTAAAAATTTTTATTATTGCTGTCTTGATGCTGTTGTTGCTGCTTAAAAATATGATGATGTTGATGCTGAAAGCAACCATTTTGAGTTGCATACCCCTAGTATTCAATATTGATAGGCAGTTCCGTTCGTCGAACTGTCGATCGATCCAAGACTAGGATTGGGATCAAAATGTATTTATGTAGGCACCCCATGACGCAGCTATAAAACTTTTTCAATACTTCTTTTGATGTTTTTATATATATATAACCAAGCCAAGAGTCCGTAGTGGCCATTAAATTGTATTCACTGTCCCCCCTAATTTTGAAAGATGGGGTTCAACTGATAAAATTATTTTTCAGGGAGGTTTGATGTTCATAGCTCAATACGAGGAATAAACAAATTTTTTATCTCTACATTATAAATCGTATGTGAGAATGGTTGCGGTTAAGTGTAACAATGATAGGATATTACTTGTATCAGCTAATTAATGGAGAATTTTTTTTTTTAACTACGCCAAATTACATTTTCATAAACATAGATATTTACTGAGCTTAGCTTAGCCTGGCTCTAGGCCCCAAATTGGGCCACGTACTGAGAATCAAACTCACGGTAGTAGTAATAGTTGGCAAAATTAACTTCTTATCTACCACTCTACGGCGAGGCCCTCTTTTTAAAAGTATAAATTATATTTAAAGAATTGTTTTGTTTTATCTGTCAGGGATATTTTACAAACAAAATATTTTTTTTTCTTTTCTTCTTTTTTTTTTAGTTTTTAGGATAAGTTTCTATCTTTCTTTTTCAGCGTTAATTTTTTTTTCCAAGACGTCAATTCCTGGTAGATCAAATCTAAAAAGAAAAAAAAAAAAGTTATTGACAAAGCATTTTAAAAAAAATAAAAAATACGTTAACAAAACATATATATATATACATTTATATATATATATATATATATATATATATATATATATATATATATATATATATGCGCATTCGGCGGAGGAGGGGCGATTTTAAAAAAAATTGAAAATTGCTTTTTTTTACTGTAAATTATTCATTATATCTTATCCAATTTTTTTACAAAAAACAGAGCAGATTACACAATATTTCAAGCTCAATTTAGGTTTATAGTTCGTAACAAGGCAATGAGATGAGGTAACATAAACCGTAGGTTTGTCTACGGAATATCATTACATTATTGTTACATAATTATAGTGAAATCCTTAAGGTTGTTGGTCAAGAGAATTTTATTTTGAGTCGCATATTAATTTAAAATATTCCTTTTTACAAGCTTTATTTTTGAAATGGAATAAGACCATTCAGAATTTCAGAATTTTACTATTGCCCATCAAAATGACTGGAAGAAAGCGATGTAAAAACAACAATGGAAAAGAGAGGTAACAAAATGTAAACGAAATAGCTGCAGTTTGTTCAACTTAGGAAACTTAGCATTGCAGCAAAATTATTCTAAATTGCTCACAATAACAAAAGAGAAAAATACCTAACAGCAAATCGAATATAGCATCAAAATTTATATTATTTTTTATTTGTTATGTAACTAACTATATTGATAATTGTCAACAATGTTTCCGTAAAACATGATATTTCCTGTAAATCATGAAAAGAAGTGTTAATCAAAACTGCCTAAAAGTTCGAATTCCAGTCGAATCCATTACATTCACTTACGTGCTAATACCCTTGGGAAAGGTATGAATTCTCTTCTTCTCCCCTCCCAGCTATGGCTAAATAGCAAGATCGGGTTCTATAGACTTGGATGGCAATTGGTCTACTGCAGAAAGAAATGGTAACCTACCGCGGAAAAAAATCTGCTTCGTCAGTCATGTATCGAAAGATAAATGATCGCCTAAGCATGTATCACGCATGGCACATAACTGACTGACTGATTTATAGAATGCAATGGACTAAGTCCGACAATTATATATGATAAATATATTTATTGTTTATACATTATTGATTATATATTAATTTTATAGATACAAATTTAAGTAAATACTCTGTTTATAATAAACAGTATTAACAACATATACCAGCCTGAATGTCGGAGAAATTTTAGAGAAAATATGTGTCCTCCGACAGGAATCGAACCTGTATTCTACACGGAAGCGTCATTTAGCTACAGAGGAAGCGTCTGGTTAACAATGTCGAATTACTGTCTTTAAACAACAAATCTGCCATAATTTCTCTCGAACGCTCATATCTATTCGAAGCGTATCTTTACGCAAACAAATGACGTCATATATTATGAAATGGACTAAGTCCGACAATTATTTTAATATATTTATTGTTTATACGTTAATTTTATAAAAATATTTAAGTAAATGCAGTGTTTATCATAAACAGTATTAACAACATTTACCGGCGTGAACGTCCGAGAAATATTCATAGAAAATATGTGTGCTCCGACAGGAATCGAACCTGTATCCTACACTGTACCGTATCATATAGCCTGACATGCTATACAATTTAGCTACCGATAAAGCGTCTGGTTAGTCAAATAACTGCTTTTAAACGACAAATTTGCCATGATTTCTCTCGAACACTCATATCTGTTCGAAGCATATCTTAACGTAAACAAATGACTTTATATATTAAGAAAGTCCGACAATTATTTTGATATATTTATTGCTTATACGTTAATTTTATAGACACAAATATAATGATTTATAGATATCACGATGCCGTAATACAAGCGGCGAATATGGAATATACATTAGATCCATTCAGGCAACAGTTTACAGTTCTTTTTTGTTTCGCCCCCGATGTTAACATTCTATCTACTAAATCTCAAGATTAAATGTCCAGTGGGCGCTACCAAAATTCTTTTCGTATTCCTTGCGTGTGTGCTTATTTTATTTTTATTTAATTTGTGGTTTAATATCAAAGTAATGAG